TACTGTAAATCTGAATGAGAGTGATCATACTTCGGTTGCATCTGTATTAAGTGATGCTGAAACTGATGATGTACTTGCAGTTCCTGTACAACAGGTTGAAAATGAGCCAGGTACAATGATGAGGGTTAGGCGTCCACATTGTGGTTGCAGTATTATGAAACTAATTTCACGACTATTGAAAGTTTTGTTGACAACTGTCCAGATTCATATTCAAGTGCTGTTAGAGGACCTGATAAAAATAATTGGAAAAGGGCAATGAAAGAGGAGTATGATGCACTCATTCAGAATAATACATGGAATCTAGTAGAGCTGCCCAAAGGTAAGAAAGCTATCTCATGTAAGTGGGTGTATGTAGTTAAAAAGGACTTGCAGAGTGATCCCAAATACAAGGCACGCTTAGTTGCTAGAGGTTTTTCTCAAATTGATGGGATTGACTATAATGAGACTTATTCACCAGTTGTTGGAAGGTCTGTAATAAGATTTTTGTTAGCCTTGACTGTTGAGTTAAATTTGAAGATGTATAGTCTTGATATTTGCACAGCCTTCTTGAATGGAGAATTAGAAGAAGAAATATACATGACTCAGCCTGAGGGTTTTACTGTTGAAGGATTGGAAAATAAAGTTTGTCTATTAAACAAAGCTTTGTATGGATTGAAGCAAGCTTCACGTACATGGAATACTACTATTACTAAAGAGTTGGTAACTCTTGGTTATGAAGTTTCTGTTAATGAGCCATGTATGTTTTACAGAAAGATGGATGATTCATTTACTGTTTTAGCATTATATGTTGATGATTTCTTAATTGTAACCAATGATATCTCTGAAAAAGAAAGACTTGTAAAGAAACTAGGATCTAAGTTCAGATTAAAAGATCTTGGAGAAACTAAGTACTTGTTAGGTATGAGAATTAGGAAAAGGAATGGAAGTATTTATGTAGATCAAGAGGAATACATATGCAAGATACTGGAAAAGTTTGCCATGATAAACTGTAAAAATGTATCTACACCTCTTCCTGCTGGTTGTAAGCTAGACAGAAACAATTCTGATAAGTTAAGTGAGATTTTCTCTTATCAAAGTTTGGTTGGCTGCCTCAATTACTTAGCTCTTATAGCAAGACCTGACATTGCTTTTGCAGCCAGTTTCCTAGGTCAATACAATTCTTGTGCCACGGCTGAACATTGGAAATGTGCCAAGCATGTATTGCGTTATCTAAGAAAAACTAAGGACCTGTGTTTGGTGTATTCTAAGACAGGAAAATCCATTGTTGGGTACTCTGACTCAGATTATGCTAATGGAGAAGATAGGAAGTCTTACTCGGGAAACATTTTTGAATTAGCAAATGGACCTATTTCTTGGGAGGCAAAGAAGCAGAAAAGTGTTGCACTTTCTACTACTGAGTCTGAATATATTGCTCTAAGTGAGGCTTGTAAGGAGGGTGTTTTTCTCAGAAAAATGTTGATGGAACTATTAAATGATGACTCTCCAATTTTGATGAATGTTGACAATCAAAGTTGTATCAAGTTAGCCTCAAATCCAGTATTTCATTCCAGATGTAAACACATCGATGTACGATATCATTATGTAAGAGAGGTAGTACAGAATGGATTGATTGATCTGGAATATGTGCCTACAGAAATTATGAAGGCCGATATAATGACGAAGAGTTTACCTAAGGTGAAGCATGAATATTTGCTAGATGCATTGGGCATGAAACCTTTTGATTGTATAAATTGAATTTATGTGCCCATGAGATTGTACCATAATATTTTGGTTATTATTATTAATTAGAGTTATTTAATTTACATGCTATGATTACAGGGGAATGTTGGTAATACTAATATATGCATGTTGTTTCTGTTGTATATGTTGGTAATACTTATATACACATGTCGTACAATCTAACCACATGGCTGTCCCAGTACGGTTCCAGGCAGTGTGGTGGTAAGTTGGTTTTTCGTATGCGCACGTGCACGCTAGTGCGTATACCAGATGATATTACTGGATGTAAAAGTGGAAGTGTGTCGATCAAGAAAAAAAAAAAATAAACGAAAGGTTTAACAACAATTTTAACCTGTTCCTATAGACTGCCATACAGATAAATACACAGACAATTTCAATTCAGTTACCTCAGCATCCACAAGACCTCCTACTACAGCACTTATGTCTCGGCCTGCTGCTTTGACAGCTTTACTAACAGCTATCAGAGCATCTTCCCACTCAACAGCAACTAGTTCACCAGATGCATTTTTCAACATGGGGGTTACAAGACGCTGCCTTTTTAAGCCATCATAAGCAAACCTTGCTTTATCAGACAACCATTCCTCATTGATTTCCTACAAAGAAAATGTTTATAAAGGTTATTATATTTCCCAGTTAACAGATATATTTTGTTCCCTGAAAATGTCCCTAAATATCATAGTCCAGCTTATGCAGTGGTGTCTTATACACAAGAAGTCATGATGAAAAATGAGTTATACTAATACCAGAACCACAGTCAACAAATCATTTATAAGTAAACAGATAATTTATTATAAAAAGGTAAAGTTGTCCCTATGCTTAACTCATTAAGCTCTATGCCATGAAGGGGTGTGGGGGAGTGGATGTATAGATCCACATTTTCTTGACCTCAGCACTAGTTGGAGGTGAGTGTTCAGCTTCACGCACCGGCCGCTATGCCACCGGGGAAAGAGCCCTCGGTACCCATTCAGTAGGAAGCTTGGTGGGCCCAGGAGCCAGTCTGGACAATTTGGAGACAAGAAAATTCTTGACCCTTACATGACTTGAACTCTGACCCCTCGGTTGTCCAGCCTGTAGCCAGCTGCTATACCGACTGCGCTATCCCACCTTCTTGGTTTTAAAAATACAGAAATAAAACAGACAAATACACACACATAAATATAACTGAATAACTTTTCAATTACTATAAAATCAATAAGCAGACTACAACACCATCTCTTCAGTAATTAAGCAGTATGTTTCCTTCCATGAAACCTCTCTTTGTACTTAATACCTTCAGAATTATGGCATTCCCAATATTTTAATACAAGATGAAAATGTGAATGTTACAGCTCTTATGACAGCTAAGTAGCAAGACATCTTACATGTTAACAATAAAGACACTGCCACTGTCTTCTTGGATCCATCTGTGGATGAAAATTGCTTTAAGTACTGCTGCAGTAGTAGCTGTAATGGAGTACATTTAAAACTCTGTATACTTTAAGTGGTCTGAAGGCCGTTTTCATTGAGTGGGTCAAAATAGTCTATGTAGCACACGCAATGCTGCTATCATTCACGGAGCCCTGTAACTGACTGAAACAGTGCTACTGACAGGGTGTTTATAATCACACAAATCAACTTGCAAATGTTACACACTGGGTAGTTATATCTACTGTTTTACACTTATTACTACTTACAAGACTGTTCAAGTGACCGTTATAACAAATTAATAAACAATACATAATACATACAATAAACAAAACATTTAGAAGAATAATTTAGAGATGTAGACTTCATAAACCACCTTGCATCTTAATCCCGAAAATATGGTAAGAATGCTTCGCTTTGAAACCACTAAACACGAGACAATCCTCCTTCATGCAATTTAAATTCATGGAACATACACAGTAACAAAAATACAATGCTGTGTGTTAGAAAAATGTGTTACCTCATTAATTCTTGGCAATATCCTGAGCACCTCTCCTGTACGAGTTGTGACCACGATATTACTGCCAACTGCATCCATAACATCCACACTCTCTGTCTTCCTTGTTTCCCAAGGCCTGGCAGTGAAAGCATATGGTTTTGATGTAAGGGCTCCAACTGGACAGAGGTCAATCACATTGCCAGAGAGTTCCGAAAGAAAGAACTTTTGAACATATGTTCCCACCTGCAGAAAATTACCAGAAATTCTAAGTATGACCTGATGCTCACCTTATTTCTCCACTGAACGTTCTTCTGTGATTAAGTCATTTAACACAGATGCCCAAATTCTCCCTGCATTCACTACAGTTCAATAAGAGGAAAATGTGAAAGCAAATCAAATGTTATGTGTATTATGGAGAGTGAAAAGTTTTTACAAAACTAGAAAAATATGGTAAGAACATTCCAACTGACACTCGTGCAACCTAATTTAAGGGTAGCTGGATGTACTGGAAGCTTCACTGAGGGAAGTCCAGTTATTAAAATTAGTAAAATGATAATCAACCTACAGATAGGAGGTAAAAGGGGATGGAAAGAAAGAACAAACAAAAGAAGATTGAAACGAAGAAAGAGGAAGTAAAAAGAAAATATAAAAGAAAGAAGGAACAACAGAACTGGGGAAAGAAAGGACATAATCCAGACAAGGTTGGCATAATTGCACAGGTGAACCCAGCAGTCAATTGGGGGATATGATTTTAGGGGTGGCACAACACTGTTTTTTGTTAAATAAAAATTAATTTCTGCTGCTCTCTTGTTCATATCATGACCACTAATTTGCAGTAATTCAAATATGTTATGCAGTAACATAAATAAAACTCTTTTAAGAATTACGTGGTGTGTTCAAGGTCTAAGGTCTCTGATTTTTTTCTCATACAATAATCATACAAAAAATCTGAAACTTCTGTCACTTTTCAATGTAATCTCCCTGCAGCCGTACACATTTTTCACAATGTCGATGACATGATTCCATGGCTGCTGTGAACGCTTCTGTAGGAGTCTGTTTTGACCACTGGAAAATCACTGATGCAATAGTGGCACGACTGGTGAATGTGCAACCACGGAGTGTCTCTTTCATCATTGGGAAAAGCCAAAAATCGCTAGGAGCCATGTCAGGTGAGTAGGGAGCATGAGAAACCACTTCAAGGTTGTTTTCATGAAGACTCTGCTGTGTTGCGTATGCCCGATGTGCTGGTGCACTGTCCTGGTGAAAGAGCACATGTACAGCCTTTTCTGGCCGTTTTTCTCGCAGTGCTGGAAGGAGCCTGTTCTTCAAAACATCTTGGTAGGATGCACCTGTCACCGTAGTGCCCTTTGGAACGCAATGAGTAAGGATTATGCCATCGCTGTCCCAAAACATGGCCATCATCATTTTTTCAGCACTGGCGCTTGGCCGATATTTTTTTGGTGGTGGTGGGTCTGTGTGCTTCCATTGAGCTGATTGGCACTTCCTTTCAGGATTGAAAAACAGCATCCATGTCTCATCCCTTGTCACAAGTGATGAAAAGAAAGTCCCATTTATGCCTTCATCATGTGTCAACATCGCCTGGCAAATTGCCATACGTGCAGCCTTGTGGTCGTCCACCAGCATTCGTTGCACCCATCTGGAGGACACTTTCCGCATTCGTAGGTCTTCATACATGATTGTGTGCACAGGTCCCATGGAAATGCCAACTTTGGAGGTGATGTTTTCCACACTCAATCAGCGATCCTCCAAAACAACTTTCTCAACTCGCTTCACCATGTTGTCAGACCGGCTGGTGCGAGGCCGAGATTGTTTTGGTTCATTATTACATGACATTCGGCCTTCTTTGAACTGTCACACCCACGAATGCACATTTTTCACATTCATGACACCATCACCACGTCTCACTCAACTGGCGATGAATTTCAATAGGTGTCACACCATGCAAGTGGAGGAAATGAATGATTACTCGCTGTTCTTGTAATGAAAACGTCGCCATTTTAGGTATCAAAAACACTCCTCACTCTCGCTGACACTACTACAGTTCTGTGTGCCGTACAGTGCTGCCATCTCTGTCACGCATTCACAAAGAGTGCACACATATTTTAAACTAAACCGCATGTGTCTATCTGCTCCCAGTCCTGAGAAAAAAATTGGAGACCTTAGAACTTGAACGCCCCTCGTACAGCACCAACAACAGTTTTCATCACAGTGTCTTGGGGCTTCTGTGTCACTGCAATTTCTTGTCACCTGGGGAAGCATTTAGGCTTTCACTGGACCTAAATCTATGTGTCACCTGATTCCAGCTATTTTAAGACATCATCATCAGTTCAAGAATAGAAAAGATATGGTTAAAATAACAGTTTAAAATTTTTATTAACTATTTTTTATTCTACACTTAAGACACTGATGCATGTACCTGCATATCATTCCCACGTCCAGAAGTGCCCAAATCGTCAACTCCGGCTACCTCAGAAGCAAAACGGATACAACGAGTACAATGGATACATCGGGTCATAATTGTTTTTATCAATGGTCCAATATCTTTATCTTCAACTGCCCTAGAATAAAAATACAATTGTAGCTACTATGGAATTAATTTAAATAATCAATCACTAGATTCATGCCAAGCACTTCATTAGCAATGTCACTGCTTTCCTCAGACAATTTTCTTAATTAGCAGTGGTTTCACAACACTTATACTTACACAGTCAATTAATTGAATGAAACATTATATGTATAAAGTAAAAGGTAAAACTGTTCCTGTAGTGAGTTCCACGTACGCATACCTTCAGCGCTCGATAAAAGTGAGTTTTCAGTTTCACCCACAGGCTACTTTAACCCTGAGAAATGAAATCCCAATACTCACTACATATGAGACTGGACTGGCCTCAGGGGCAGTCTGGATGCGATGCCAAGAAAAAAAATTCCTGTCCCTATAGTCGGCAATGGCTGAAACTCATAAACTTCTACCATAACATTGTCAATGGGTGCAGTTCAATGACATACTCTGTTATAATACACTATGCACAGTAAAAGGCAGATGCAAAGTTGACCCTGTGCTTAATCAATTAAGCACCATACCATAAAAACATAGAATGGTGTGGAGGTATAGCTCCACTTTGGCACTACTTGAGGTGACTGATCAGCTTCATGCCCTGGCTGCTTCACCCCCACTAGGGAAACAGCCCCATGTACCCATTGGACAGGAGGCTGGATGGGTCCCAGAGCCAGTCTGGATGCTGCGGAGAAGAGAAAAAATCTCTTGCCCTGCTGGAAATTGAAACCTAGCTGGTCAGCCTGCAGTTCATCGCTATACTGAGCTATACCAGCTCCCTAATATGTACAGAATTTAGATCAAACTTCCTGTAATACCACACACAGAAGTTGGCAGAGTTCCTTTCAGAGTTTTAGTTACCTATTTTAAATAGTCTTTTCAAAAATTTAAGACAGATCTTACCGTACCTTATACAAACAGAATAGATTTGCCAACATATGTAAAGTTCATGGCTTGTTACATATTTTGCTGATCATGAAATTCGTTATCCTTATGAAAAGGAAACATTTAATCACCATGGTCATAAAAGTTTTCCATTAACCCTATCCTGAGATACACTCACTCCACTTCATACGTTCATGAACTATTTCTCCAAGATCAATTCTGATGAGAAGCTGCCATATGCCTGAACATACAAAATGGAATTCTGACTTCAAGTTTTAAAACTAAAATTTTGTATGCATTCCTTGTTTCACGCTGCATGTAGCATGTTCAGTTCCTAACTCTTCTTGATTAATACTCCCATTAAAACTAGATGCAAGGTGAAACTGTTAAGTTTCTCAGTAAGTGGCTCTCTGTATTCTTGTGTTTATCCAACTTCTCCTAACATTCTCCTTCTGGTACAGACAAGTGATACAACAACACACAAGCAAAGGGCAAATTGCAGATTGCAGACATAACATACCAATGGGCTAACAAAACAGAAAAGCAGGCTGCTGAAACATACTGTCTGGAATATCACATAGCTTTAAACAAGTGGACAGTGCCCCTTATGAGGTGGAACAGGATTTTACAAAAGATTTTAACAGAAAAACATTTAATGGATTTTTAAGTAATTATGTTATTTTAAGTTGACTGCAACACGTGATTTTAGCGTGCATCAAAGCAGTGTAGCAGTTTGGATGCACTGAAACACCTATGATGGCCATCTATGCCTGAAATATGTGTTAAGTGTTAAAGGGTGAATATTTTAATGATTGTTGCATTATTGATGGACTGTGATATACAGACGTTTAATTCTTCATACTGTTCTCATACACTATATTGCCTTCTTCCTTTAAGAGCAGTTTCACAGCCACATAAAATCTAGCAATGCTTAAACTAGTTTATTGCAAAATTCATCACAATACTTCAAACATGTACAGACTTGACATGACTGAAGCAACACGAAAAGAACTAAAATAAAACATTCCTTCCAATCATAGGAGCTGTGACAGCTCAGAGAGTGAGTGCTTACACACTACGCAACTGGAGTTTGATTCCAGATAGGGATTTATCACCTCATTACAAGATTCAGATCATCTCTAGGATCCCAGGAGCTCTTTCTATGTGGGTAAAGCGGCCACAACATGAAGCTGACCTGTTATCTCAATTTCCATATCCATTACATGCCTTTACATCATGCTGTCTGGGCACTCATGCATCTACACTGTATCCTCCAATCAAAAGAAGACAATGCTAAATGAACTAGGACTACACATTATCCTCCAACAAATTGTGCCAAATATTACCTCTTCCCAGAGAACTTTATGTCTTCAAATCGGCTCCTGTCACTGCCAAAAGCCATGCTTTGATCCTGAAGATCGCATTCTCCACCTTGGTCACAAATGGGGCAATCAAGTGGATGGTTTACCAACAGGAACTCCATTACCCCTTCTCGTGCCTTGCGGGTCATGTCTGAGTTTGTTTTGATTCTCCATCCTTTCATCACTGGCATGGCACATGCCGCCACAGGCTGAATGAATTAAAATGTGTAGCATATCACATTACACTACAATGAATTTATGGGTATTCATGTATGATCTGAGGTTCTCACAGCAGTGGTTACAGTCATCCCTCCTGGGGTATAACAGAGTGGTTGACTTTTACTGGACTACTCAATTTTATTTTCTAGATGACAGAATTCTTCTATTGGTATTCATTTCATAACTCTGATGTGCGTTACCCAACATTCAACCAACCGTCAGAATTTTGACATCACTCCAATGTTTCACCTGAAACTAACTCTCTGGTAAGAGAATCAAATGATTTATTCAGTTCTGCTTTGTTTCCAGACTAGAATTATGCAAACTGGGAAATTCATAATTGTGGCTTTATAGTATCTACCTGCACACAGCCAGAACATTGTGTTAACTATCTCTCAGTGATTATCATAGTACATTAATGCAGTTAAATGTCAAGGTCATGAGCCATCACAATAAAAACTACAAGATTTAATAGAAAGTTCAGGGAATGTGCTAAGTTTAAATTATTTTTCCTCGTCATAAGTGTAAAATATAAAATTATGTAAACACAATGGGTTCTTTTGTAAGTCAAGGGTAAAACGCAACGTAAATTTCTTCCTTAAATTAAAAAAATTATAATAAACACTTCTCCTATGTAATTATAATACTTTAGTTACATGACAAAATGTGACATAATAAGAGATAAGTGCAAACTGTGCCATGCCTCCTCTCCCAGCTTTTGCAAATGCAATCACTCTCTTGGCTCCAGTGCAGAACAGTACAGAAAATTCTTTGTACTTACGTTTTTATGTAGTGACTACAGATGAGGTTTGGATTGCTAATATCATAACTACAAGCACCTACAGCACTACAGCAAACACTTAAGTCTTCTTGGCTTGCTGTGTCTTCACCAGTTTTCTGGTAAGAGCTTCCAACAGTGGACATTCCCATTCCTCTGTGTTCCCGTGCTTCAGCTACCAGCTTCTGACAGCAACAGCTCACAAGGACTGAACTGCAGCAGTTCTCTAACTCACTCACTCACTCACTCACTCCACTTCATTGCACTAACACTAACTCTCAATAACTGTCCTGCTTATAATATCTCAAACACAGACTGCACAGGAAATACCATTCCGATGTTGCTGCTTATGGACCATTACCTAGCAATGGGTCTACATGCTACAGTATTATAACCAGGGACTAGCTGGTAACATATTAATGTTATATCACTACAGAATATTTGAAGAATAATCTTTTTCATGATGCACAGCAAACATCTCTGTATAAAGGAACGATTCTGCACAAAACAGTGGATTTTAAAGGTAAGACTTCATCTGTAACCTTACAAACTTAAAACTAAAACCTAATTCCCTTACTTTGCAATCAACTAACTGCTGGGTCTGATGTGATGCCTCAAGCTTAGAGACCAAGGAAGAGATAATGTGCTGCCTGGTCAGGGCTATCGGACACGTCAGGAGGGTGATAATAGATGTGCTTGAAGCAATGGTGGAAGATGACTGGCAGGAGATACCAAAACTTACTCTTGTGCCACTTCATTCACCATGCTCCCACACAGGCATGCACTGAGATTTAACCCAGGCTCCTTAGCAAGAAGCCAGGGTCTAACTTCCAGAATTATGGCTTGATCTGACTTGAATATTACATGCAGCAGTATGAGTAGAAATATAATTATAACTAACAACTTCTGGGACAAAAAAGCAAATGTAATTCATTCTACTTTCACAAGATTAATGGTGAACAGAAATCAAATAATCCATACCTTTGGTGATTTTTCAACTTCAACAAGACACATCCTACAGTTGCCAGCAACTGAAAGTCGTTCATGATAACAGAATCTGGGAATTTCAACTCCAATGAGTGCGGCCGCCTAAAAAAGATCACATTCAATAACAAGATCTTGGAGGACACCCACTCTCTTCAACCATTTCAATCTGGCTCATCAAGCTTATCAAGAACTGTAAATTAATGTTTACAATATTTTGTGATCTACCTCTGTGTGTAATTTCCATTTGCTGACTGCCTATGTTAAACTGTGAGATTTAATCTCAAAAGTTTTTATATTGTTAGTAGCAGGAACCAAGAAGTATGAAACTGGAATAAACTCCAAAGGCACAATATTCATACTTAACTCTCCTAAGAATATATCAGCTAGCATGGGAAGTATTAAGGTGAAAGATACACACAAACATGATGATACTATAAGGATTACATGAAGATGACTCAATACAAGCAAACCTGTAATGTTAATTTGTGTCCAAGTTCAACATGTCTAAAATGGTACCCACCTGCAGCACTGTAGTTCCCGGATCAACAAGAACCCTCTTATCATCAATAAATACTTCAAGCTTTTCTGGAGCTTTTGTGACGGTGCCCCTGCTGCAAACAGGTACTGCCCTAGCACTCTGTGGGTTCAGAACCCGGTGCAGGGGAAATCGCAACATCATCAAGCTATTCTGTCAAAATCAGATATGTATAATTACAGAAGTCAAAAACTGCTTTGAAAATCTGATTGGCAGCACACAATAAATGAACCAGAAAACCGAACTTACACCAAGTTAACCTAAACTGTAGGACAGTTATTCAAAATATGAAAACAGATCATGCTAAGTTATAATTGCATGTGTTTGCCTTAAATGACACCCTGATCATGTGAGTGGTTACAGAGATTGGATAGATTAGAGTAATTCACATACCCATAATTCTCATAACATGGCATAAAACTAAGAATTCTCTGCACATATACATGGTCATTTCATTGACAGTGCGTATCACAATGATTTCATTTCCTGCAGTGCTGGTGTTCTTTACACATCAGCTATACTGAACTACCTTTACCAGCACCATACCAGAAGAAATATTCTAGCCTATGTGTCAGCTGCACACATCAAATTACAAGAATAACAGGTTTACTAGACGGTGAAGCCGAGGGCCAGACAGCATTTGACAACTTCCAGTCATACTGAATAAAATATCATGGGATTATTTCAAATAAACAGAGCATTTTTTCAACACAATATGTCATGAACCCAAAACTGAAAGTTCCGTCATAGAACCGACGTCTCTACAACACAGAACAAAACCAGCATAAATAACAAGGGACATCACATAGCCAATCGGTAGTAAATATATAAATCTTTTTCAGCTTGTGAAACGAAATGTGTAGTCAGACAGCCCAGAGTTTATTGACCTATTTCAATTGGATATTCATTCGTCTTTAACAATATCTAACAATATGCAATATGAAACGTTTTCTCAAAACTTCAGTACGTACTATAATTACAAAAACCATTTACTAACGATAACACGAAATTCTACAATAATGGCAAGATAACATTTCCACTGGAACAACTCAGTGCAAATACCGATACTGTACATACTTGAATAAAAAGATGTATTAATCATTGAAGGACAACTAGGATAATTAAAGAGTTGTGGTTTCCACAGCAGTTACTACGAACCACACTATCCTCTACGATGCAACGCCGCGTATTCCGCTGCTTGCCGCATGCATCTTCCTGGTTCCTTCCTTAGCATACTTTTAGACCCAGAATTTGGAGGTCAAAACTTCTATCACACTACACAGCGTCAAAATCACGCAGCAATCCTCTGAAGTTACCAATAGCTTTGACATAACTACTAACACTGAGAACGTCCTAAAAATGAGAGCTTCGCGGATGTAACCTAAAAACTGTGAAAAGTACAATCTTTCGCAATCTGCTGTTACCACGAAGGATGATTCAAAGTTATAACAAAGATTTTAATAGATCTATTAAACCGACCATTTCTAATATCAGCACTCTAAATATATCAAAATATTTACCGACTACACAATACAGCGATCTCTAATGTTCTCAAATTGGCTGAAGATGGCAGGTAAATCTGAACCGATCGGGAATAAATAAAGTAAATAAAGATATGGAATGCAATGCTACAGGGTCGCGACAACGAGAGGGAAAACGAACATAATCACACACTAACGACATCTACATTTTCCTAGCGTAAAATATCTCGGTGACATCCGTGACAAGATTACACTGAGACTGGAACACAAACATCAGAAGCCAAGTCCTTCCCAAAACTTCTTAGAACAAGTTACTTATTCGAAAGGGAGCGATGAAGTGCTGTCATTAAATTGACCCTTCACAAAGCACACATTAGATCTACAATGACTTATGCTTGCCCCGCCTTGGAATTTGCGGCAGATACCAATCTAATAAAATAGCAGCACTTGTAAAACAAGGGTTTCCTCACCACTGGTAATTACCCAAGTCGTACACTGCTAAGCGAATTGCACAAGGCTATAACAAGCTGTATATTTATGGTTATACAACAAAATTAAGCAGGCAGTAAGCAAAAGTCATATATCGTATTAAAAATGTAAATTTATATGACATTGGAAACGGTAAGCCCAACACAAGAAATATAAGAGGCTCAAACATGGAGGCGGTAAAGCGCAAGACAGTATATCTGACTAGGTTGTTGTTGTTGTTGTAGCATGAGCTACATAAGACAGGGCATCATTTCCCTCTCTAAGCATGTATGGGCAGAGTCCTTGAATTTTTTTGTGTTCTACCACGTATCATACTATAACGTTTGCCTAGGGGCTGGACATCTGAAGAATTAAAAGTCACGGTAGGGCAGCGCCATAGCTCAAGCGGTTAGTCACGGGCTTCCCACCACAGCGGCCCGGGTTCAATCCCGGGTCTGGTCAAGTTTGCTCAGAGTACTTCGGTTTCCCCTGCCAATCTTCATTCCACTAATTGCTCTACAATCACCCTCACCTATCATCTGGAGCTGGTACAATAGGCCAGAAGCGGTCGCAGTACAAGGGACAGAGTTCCACCCCACTAGCAATAAAAAAAGAGTCACGTTAGAGTCAAGAATTTTCACTTCTTCATGTCTTCCAAACCGGCGGTGGTTCTTTTCCCTGGGGCAAAGCGGCCGGGAAGTGAAGCCATCGCCGAGGTCAATAAAGCGTGGTCTATACACCCACTTCTCTACAGGTCTTCACTGTGTAGTGCTTAATTACTTAATCATGGGGACCAATTTAACTCATTTACCTTACATGTGTTGTATAAGTGAAGCTAAAATATGAAACGTACCAAAGCCCAGGGACCGAAAAGTGGTTTGGGATAGGAAACTATATTAACAATACAGACACCAAATGAATATAACAATATAATAATATAATTGATTAAAAAAATACAAACTGCCCCAGATAAGGACGGCACAACGTACAAGCGTCCACCGCCTCCGCCGTTAATTTAGTAAACCAAAATTCCAAAAAATAATTTGGGATCGAGACCAGACTCTTCCACGGCGTGCAGCAGAATGGCCCTCCAGTGTTCAGACGAGCCTCTCAGTCCCTGGTGAAAGGATGAAGGGCGCAAGCGTAGGGCACGTGGAGAGGGGGAAAAGGAAAGAAGGGGGTCTGGTTGAGGGACCTGGCGGTGGTTGCTGCCGTTACAGTCCCCCCCCCCCGAAGGAGACGGCGTGGGTGATTCCATTTACTGGGGCTCCTGCGTGTTGACGAAACGGAGTGCCAGGCCATTGTATCAGAGTTGCAGCTTACCTGCTGCCAGTCTCGATGTTAAGTGCTTGCGCTGGCTGCGAGAGCACCCATCTACACTTCACTATGTGGTGCTGGACGCGCAGCTCACCCGAACCATCAGTGGGGCACATGCGCAGACAGGGATAAGAGCCCAGACATCTCACCCCACAAACTGGTTGCTACTTAATAAGTGTCCCGTTGTCATGTCCATAATATGCCTGATGATGTAATAAGCCTCCAGTAAACACCCGGGGGGGGTTACGAGTGCTGGACTTATCAGGTACTTGACCGTGCTTCGGACTTGGTCGTAGGGACTGTGGATGGTTTCCACCCTTCGGCGTAAGGCACTGGAAAGATGGTAGCACGGGAAGGGACAGCGCAGCCCGTCCGAACTAAGGGTCAAACTGCAATATGAGTTGGGGCACGTGAAAAACACAAACACAATCAAGATGACAGCACCGATGCGACAATTGCAATTCATAGGCTCTGGTTACACTACCGAGCTGTACAGTAACACACATAACGTATTGTTATAACCTCAGTTGATGGGGATCCCCACACACACACACTCATACCAAAGTACACACACATAGTCATGACTACACCTAAGCATGCCGGCGGCAATGCAACANGCAATATCATAATATGGCAGAGTACTCTAAGGGCCCATATATATACATATATATACATACATACATCCGAAACATCGGACTAGAAAAAGAAAGTACCTCCAGGCACTAAGCGCAAGGGGCCCTTTACATAGAATGGCTCCAAGGCCCACATACAAGAAAATATATTGATCTGTTTAATGTTCCACTTATATAAGGGAACCTGTTACGAATTGGTTGCTACGGGGGTGGGGGATCCTGATGGGTCGGGTAGGCCATTACTGCCCGTCTCAGTTTACACATAATACAGTTGCGTTTATTGCTGATATAATATAAATAAAATACAGTTGCGTTTATTGCTGGTATAATATAACTAAAATACAGTGGAGCTAGTGGAAGGTCCTCACTACCCACGTCCACTCCGGAGGGGCCCAAACTCCGTTCCGCCGTATCCTTTTTATTTGGTGGAAGTTAATTTGTCAAGGTAGGGGCCTCCCCCTACCTGAGTGGGGTCAAACAGCTCGGTAAGCCCGTATTCCGTTACTTACCGCCCTTTGGGCCCACGTTCGAAACCCCCCCCTTTCTTTCCTCCAATGTAGGGCCCTTCGGGGCCGGCCGACTGCTCCTGCGGTTCCTTGTACTCCGGCGTCGTCGCTCCCCTAGGAGCCTCCACTACCTCTCTCTCCAATGTCTCGTTACCCACTGCCTCCTCTGGCTACCGCTACCCGGTCCATCCTGCTAGCCCCCCCTCCCCAGGCGGTAGGGGGTGGGCCGCGGATACAGGGCTGCCAAGCGTCTTCCAAGGCAGTGTTGCCAGATCTCCGAGGCTTTCTCAACGTAGTTTCGGCCGGAGCGTCGGGCTCGTAACACTCTTCCCTCCCTGGGAAGAAATTTTGGGCCACAGAGCGGGACAAAATTTCCTATCACTCGGGCTTACCAGTACCCTTCTAAGCCGAATTAAAAGGATGAATCCAGGCATACGGCATTGGAAAGGTTTAAGCCCTCCGGATTACAAGTTTCATCCACTTCATAGTGAATTTACCCTTCACTAACTCTGCTACAGGCATACAATTGCTTAGGCGGGCTTACATAACATAATATACAATTTGTCCCGCCTTTAGTCCCAACCAGTCACCTGCGTGGATGATTAGTAGACACCATATGTACTCTCTCTTATTACTTATACCTATAGATTACTACACATCTCAGGACCTTTTTCCTGTGCCTTAACAAATATCTTTGCGGGGTAATTTACACAACGTGTAGCTTCCTTACCCCGGGGCACAGTCCTGGGAAGGACTACACATTAGAAATACGCTTGAATATAAGAGTTTCGTAGCTGATACAATACATAATTGGATATAAAATATATAAGATTATGTCTTACAACTGAAAATATATTAATTTTTGCGTCCTCTGCCTCCTGTTCTTTGAACGTGGGAGTTTCTGGAGCGAACTCCCCCGAGGTTACACCTTACATAGCGGTACGAAACAGCCAACTAAATTTTCACAATTCTGTGTGTATACATACATCGGAAGTCCTATCAATAGTGGTACAAAACAGCCAAAGAAACCTTCACAAATATGTGCGTATGCATACATCGGAAATTATATCAATATCCAGCTACAGAATGGCTACTGCCATTAACCATGGATTTTCCTTGGACTAACCATTAAATTAACTTAAATTAACTCCACGAGGCCCTATTCCTGCAGCCTCGATTTCATCTCTATATAGTTGCAAGATTAATTTCGTATATACTTTTCTTAGCGGGATCCCGTTACAATTGCGGTAGCTACCGCACCTCTGTTCTCTCTACTTTCTACCCTCTACGTTCAACACAACTCTTTACTCCTCTACTTTCTACCCTCTACGTTCAACACTACTCTTTAGTCTCTACTTTCTACCCTCTACGTTCAACACTACTCTTGCACCAATACTCCCATATGGGTTCCCCCCTGCGCGCGAGCGTGTCGACATATCCCCCTCCTTCCTCTTCCTTCAATTCACTGACTTTTTACTCACTGAATTTCTGACAAAGCCCGCGGTCATCCTATAATCTACCATGGTAGGGCTTTAAATCTTTAATGTGCCATCGGCCTAAGGCCTTGCCATTCCTTGATTCTAGCTCATACGTTACGGCCGAAATTCGTCTTTTAACTGTATACGGACCAAGATACTTTGGCAACAAACCGGCGGTAACCTTCTCGCCAGCTGAGCTCAAGGCATAGTTTTTTCTTAGTACGGAATCTCCTACCTTAAATACCGAGTCCCTACGTCGCAAGTTGTATCGGCGACTCGCTTTCTCATACGCTTCTTCTAAATTATCTCGTACCAGGAGATGTATGTCTCGAAGCGCCGAAATTTTATCAGCCCACTCCTGTGGAAGAGTAGGGTCTAGCTCCGGAGATCCTTCCGAAGCGTCCA